TTATGTTTATAATTATATTTATATTTATGTTTATATTTATATTTATACTTACATTTATACTTTGCAACTTATTATCACTTTAGTTTTAACTTTAATATTTTGAAAAAAGAAATAAAGTGAAAACAAAAGAAAAGGCCAATTCATATTTATATTTCACTGCAGGCACTTTAAGAAATCAGAATGAAGATAAATTCACATTTAAATTCAATTTGATTACCTTTTTTAATTTAAAAAAGAAAATTAAAACTTTTTAATTTAAAAAAGAATTAAATTTATTTTCATTCCAGGATTTGTCGAAGATCAAAAGAAATCCGAAATTCATTTTCAAGTTTCAATTCAGAAACTTGAAAATTCAAAATGAAAAATTCAAAGTCATATTCAAATGGAGTTCAAATTTCATTCTTTTTTGTTTTTGGAGTTTTCATTTTAATTTATTTAAATTCAAATTAAAATTTAATTTTAATTTGTTTTTAATTTATTTAAATTAAAATTAAAATTCAATTTTAATTTGTTTTCCAAATCCAAAAAATTGGAAATCCTGAAATTGAAGTGCTGCTCGAGTGGCTGCAGGCCAATTTGAGCTTTCTGGAAACGAAATTAAATGCTCTGTACACAAAAATAAAATAAAATAAAATAAAATAAATAAAATAAAATAAATAAAATAAATAAAATAAAATAAAATAAAATAAAATGAAAATAATAAAGTCCAAATGGCGAAAGGGGAGGCACTACAGACTTGAAAAGTGCAGAAACAAAACTTGAACTGCAGCGCCTGCTGCTGCAGACGGCCCAAAGAAGTGAAACAAAATGCATAAATGGGACAAATAAATGAAATAAAATGCAAAATAAATATTTAATTTGAATAAAAAAACAATTTAAGAGACTTTAATTCAGAAGAAACGAAGAAACTGCGTTGAATGAGCAGTTTTCAGTTCAACATGAGGCTTGCTGGGAAAACAAAAAAGTAAAATGTGTTTAAAATGGAATTAAATTCATTTAAAGGCAAACTAAGCCAAAATAAAGCAGCAAAATATATTTAGAAAATAAATTGAAGTCCAATTCAAGCTTGGGAAAGCCAGAAGCTGCTGCGTCTTGCGTTTCTGCAGCAACATGCAAAGCGCGGAGTTGCAGATCAGCTTCTATTTCCATTTTCTCATTATCTGCAAACAATTAAAAGCTAGCTAGCTAGCTAGCTGGCTAGCTGTAGCTAACTAGCAGGCTAGCTAGCTGCTTAACTAGCCGCCAAACTACCCACCTACTTCGCCTAGCTAGCTAGCTAGCTAGCTGGCTAGCTAGCTAGCTAGCTAGCTGGCTAGCTAGCTAGCTAGCTAGAGCTAAATAGCTAGCTAGCTAGCTAGCTAGCTAGCTAGCTAGCTAGCTAGCTAGCTAGCTAGCTTGACCAAAGGGATAAAGCACTTAATGAGGCGTAAGGAGCGGCAGCTGCAGCATTCAACAGGCCCGCACGAACTGGCAGGGAATTTCCACGAAAAGTGAAGCCAAGACAAATAAATAAATAAATAAATAAATAAATAATTAAATAATCATAAATAGAAATTCAAATTGAAAAACTGATTATATAAATGACTTTATTTCGACAATTCGGAAACCCAAACTTCAATTTGCAGAAAAGATGACAGCCAGCGCTGCATGTGGAGCTGCGGGCGGCGAGAGTCCAGAGAGCGTCAAATTAATTAATTAATTAATTAATTAATTAATTAATTGATTAATTAAATAATTGATTAATTAATTAATTAATTAATTAATTAATTAATTAATTAATTGATTAATTAATTAATTGATTAATTAATTGAAATATAATTTCAATTGTTTTGTTTTTAGATCCAAGAAACTTGAAATGATGGCAAACGCGGGCCCCGCCGGCGCGCATTGCCGCGATCTCACAGTTCAAGTTCATATTGGAGGCTGGGGCCCCTGCGGTGCTGGTGGTGCTGCTGCCGAGACTTTTGGGGGGAAAGATCAATTAAAACGATAAAAAGAGAGATAATAACAAATTTAAAATGAAAAATAAAGTAATTGAAAGTTAAAAACCGGCAAATAATGAGAAAGAGTGGGAAATTCGGGGCTGCGCGAATGCAGCGAGACAGAACACCACGGGAAATGGGGGCCAAAGAAGCAGGGAGTAAACAGCAATAAAGAATGGTTTTTCTTGCAAAATATTAATAATAAACCAAATAATATGTTTATTATTTCTTTTTTGCAGTTCAACAGGCCACACTTTGCAGCTGAACTCGCCCACAAACTCCCGGCTTCCTAGGCGCCAGTGGTCAACTTGAAGACCACTGGACAGGAGCGGCTTGCGCATAGCGCTGCGCCGCAGGCCGTTAAGAAGCCCCTTATTAATTCTTTGTAACCTTTTTTACTAATTAGTGCTGAGTCCGAAGTTGATTGCTGCAAAGTTGGGCCCAGCGCAGAAGCCGCGGCAAAGACCAGTGGTCACCCTCTCGGCGCACCCCAGCAGCAGCCCTGGAGCGAAACTAACCGCAATTTGGCCGACTTGAAGGCAAAATGGTTTAATATTTCGAATGTTTTCAAAATGATTAAATATTTCGAACGTTTTCAACTAAAAAAGAGCCGGAGGAGTGCAGATTCAGATTTTCGGAAGCTGCGAGCCGGCAGCAGCAGAGTGCCGCCTGCTGCGCCGCCGGTGCGGGGCGGCGAGTGCTGCTAACTTTAGCGGCTTCAGTCCTTCAAACTTTTAATAATTTTGCAAAATAATAAAATATTTGTCGAATAAAAGCAGCAGCAGCGCATTTTATTGGCATTTGCTGCTGCAGCAGGCAAAAGCAGCAGCAGCGCATTTTATTGGCATTTGCTGCTGCAGCAGCAAGGCCCGCTGCAGCGCCCGAGACGAGGGCTGCTGCAGGGCTTGGCCGCACCGCTGCAGCGGGTGTGCTGCACTAATTACTTTAAAAACTGCTTTTTGGCATTTAAAAAACATTTTAGAAATAAATAAAACTCAAGAGCTGCCTCAATGGAGTCCGGGCTGCCGCCGCCGCAGCAAACGCCGGAGGCGGAAGCTGCTGCAGATCTTGCTGCAGCAACGAGAGCCGAGGAAGAAGCCCCTTGCTGCTGCTGCTGCTGCTGCTGCTGCTCAGCCCCTGCTGCAGTCCCCCGGGACTTTCCCGCGAAGCCCTGTGGGGCCCCACAGCCGGTCCTTTTGGCTGCGGCAGCGCCGCTGCAGTCCTCCGCCGAGGTGTCTAGACACCGCAGCAGCAGCAGCAGCAGCAGCAGCAGGAGCAGCAGCAGCAGCCAGGGCCGCCCACACAGCCCAAAGTACTCATTACAATTTTTGCTCAATTTTGCACTGAGGGCCAGGCGCTGTTCGCTGGAGACAGCGCTGCCCGCGGCAGCCACAAGCCTGCAGCGCGACTGCGCAGCAGAGCAGCAGCAGCAGCAGCAGCAGCAGCAGCAGCAGCAGCACGAGCAGCAGCAGCAGCAGCAGAAGCCTGCCATGCTGGCGCTTGAGGCCTCCCCGCTGCAGGCCAGCGCCTGCTGCTCCCGCCTTTCTGCCGAGTGGGTTTTGCACAAAACTTCTTTTTTTGCTGCAGCAGCAAAGTTGCTTCCGTGCTGCAGCAGCAAAGTTGCTTCCGTGCTGCAGCAGCAAAGTTGCTGCCTCTTCATCGCTGTTTGCTGCAGCTGCTTCTCTAGCAGTTGCTGCTGCTGCATGCGGCTTTCACGTCTGCTGCTGCTGCAAATGCCCGCCGCAGCTCTTTGTCTCAGTTCAATTCTTTTCTTGCATCTGGCGAGCCTTTAAACACGAAGAATGCTGCAGCAGCAGCAGCAGCAGCAGCAGCAGCAGCAGCAGCTTTTGGGCGTAGGGGGCGCCGCGCTGTGGGGCCTGCGGGTGTCTGCATGCGTGGGCTGCGGTGTACGTACACCTGAATGTGGCTGGCCGCGCAGCGGCGGCCAAAAGCAGCTGCTGCTTTTGTTGCTGCAGATCAGATCTAGAGCCGGCTGGCGAGCTAGTATTCAAGAAAATAGCTGCAGCAGCAGCAGCAGCAGCAGCAGCAGCAGTAGCAGCAGCAGCAGCAGCACGTGGCCTCTGTGGGGCCATTGCATGCGGCCTTTGTGGGTGGGCGTGGGGTGTCTGCGTGCGGGAACTCCGGTGTACGTACAGCCCAAGGTGCCTGCCTGCGCCGCCGCAGCTCCCCTCATCTGCTGCCGCTGCTGCTGCTGCTGCTGCTGCTGCTGCTGCTGCTGCTGCTGCTGCTGCAAATCAGGCCGCGCTTTCGCCTGGAGCCCCGCCAAGGGCCCCCGCTGCCTCCGCGGGGATTTGGGAAGCGAAAGGGCAGCCGCCGTTTGCCGGCGGGGCCCTCAGCAGCAAGTTGAAGACGGCAGCCTGCTGCAGCAGCAGCAGCAGCAGCAGCAGCTGCTGCTGCTGCTGCTGCTGCTGCGAGGTAGGCGCCGGACGGCGAGACGGGAGGTAGAGAAACACGCGGAGACCCCGAGCTCTCAGAGCGCAGCGCAGCGCAGCAGCAGCAGCAGCGGCAGCAGCAGCAGCAGCAGCAGCTAGCCACGCGCGCCGTGTGTTGCTGCGCACATGCAGGAGAGTCCAAAGAAGCCGCAGACACTGCAGCAACACATATTATAATCAAGACAAAGTAAGTGCTGGCAGCTGCAGCTGCAGCAGCAGCTGCAGCAGCAGCAGCTGCAGCAGCAGCAGCGGAGCGCCGAAAAAGGCGAATCGGACGGAATCTTCGGGTAAGTCCGTTTTTATGAATAGTTGCGGAGGACTTGAGGTGAGTTGAGAATAAAATGAAATGAATTAAATTAATTTTAATTTAATTCATCAAATTAATTATTTTGGATTTTCGAAGTGGAGTTGGTGAGGAAAGCCAGCAGCAGCCGCGCCAGGAAGTCCGGGTCTTCGGCGCTGAAGGCCAGCAGGCTGTCTGGACTGAAGAGAAATAAATTCTTCTTTTAAAATACTTTTAAAACAATTTAAAAATGACTTTTTAAATAATTAATTAATTCAAAAACTGCAACAATTCTCACTCATCGCCGGCCGCAGCGGGGGC